TGAGAACAATATCTTTTCAAGTGCATCATCTGTTTCTCCTATACTCTCCCCAGCTGGAGCTTGAGGCGGGTCACTGCTAATGCACGCGATAGTTAGCGGAAACCCACAAAGTGCAACATTACCCACATAAATTGATGATGGATCTTCGAGGACTAGGAGCTGATTGCCTGTTGGAATTTTACCAGACAAATTGTTATATGACAGGTTCAAGTGATTCAGAAAAGTCATAGAAGCCATGGTTGGTGGAATAGACCCTGAAAAGTTGTTCATTGAGAGGTCCAGAGTTTCTAACCATTCCAAGCTTCCGATATTTGCAGGTATGTTCCCTGTCATATGATTCATGGACAAATTCAAGGTGCCCAACCTTGTCAGGCTTGTTACTTCTTTAGGCATCTCTCCAGATAAATTATTTCTCGAAATATCGAGGCTATTCACAAGGTAAAGTGTAGAGAAATATTGAAGCATTCTTCCCTTGGCCATGACTTGCAATCGCCCCTCATACCTCACAGTTTCAGGTGTAACCTCAGTTTTGAAGCCAGTCAAGTTCCCTATACAGGGAGGAACTAATCCTGTCAGCTTATTCTGTGAAAGGTCCAATATGTGAAGGGCAGAGAGATAACATATACTTGGAGGTATGTTTCCAGCAAAGGAATTGTTCCGAACACGGAGAATTAATAACGATGTCATGTTTTCTCCTATCCAAGCTGGAAGCCTTCCAGATATTTGATTGTCTCCAACATCAAGGCTGATCATCTCAGTGCAGTTTTTCAAGCCAGAAGGGAGTTCCCCTGAAAGATTGTTGCTAGAAAGTATTAAGAATCTGACGGATCTTAGAGAAGCAATTGAACTTGGAATCGTACCAGAAAGGCTATTGTTTGACATATCCACAATGTACAACAATGGCACATTGTTCCAAACATGTGGAATTTCTCCAGAAAGAAGATTATTCGAGATGACCAGAGTTGTCAAACCATTCAGATTACCTATGGACAAGGGAATGCTACCGTTTAGAGAGTTCCAAGAGATATCCAAGTCTGTCAGATTAGGCATTAATTCACCAATGTCAGGAGGAATTGGTCCAGAAAACAAGTTATCCCTTAGATATAGGGTACTCACATTAGATGACCAGAGAGGGAGAGGACCCTCAAAGAGGTTCGAGCTCAGATCGACATTGGAGGAGTCACTGAATTGTAATGGGTTGGGTACAGTGCCCCTTAATTGATTGTATGCAACGTCCAGTTCGTCGAGTTGCAAACCAAACTTCAGGAACCAGTCTGGTATGGTGTCTGAAATCCTTGCATTGTTGAGTACCACAGTGATCAGCTTATTTTGATTTCTGAGCCATGGAGGAAATCTGGGGCCCAATTGGCACGATCGAATTCTAATGTATATGAGTTTGAAAGGAGGAATCCAATCAGAATCGATGTTGAAAAACAAGGAAATATTTGGAGATTCTTTATAGAGTGATATCTCCTTTAAGCTCGAGAGATTCAAGAGATGAGCTTCTGTTATGACACCTTCCCATGAATTCTCAGAGATGTCCAACACAACCAAAGATGACAGTTGACCAAGCCTTGGAGGGATGTTTCCACTCATTTGGTTGTTTGAAAGGTACAATTCCTCCAAAGATGATAAGTTCCCTACCGTTTCTGGAATGGAACCGCTGAACAAGTTTTGCCGGAGTACAACATATCGCAAGTTTATAAGGTGGCCCATTGAATCGGGGAGACTGCCTGTCAATTCGTTGGACCCCAAATCCAACATCTCTAAGCTGTTATTTTTGCATCCAGATAATCCATTGATAACTTCAGATATTTCACCGGTAATCTTGTTAGTGGAAAGGTCCAGATTCCACAAGTTGCAGAGATTTTGCAATCCTCTCGATAACCGACCTTCAATGCTATTCTCAGATAGATCAAGGTTTTCAAGGGAAGTTAACTTGGAAAATGCATCAGGAAGTCCACCATGGATATTGTTGGAATTGAGATTAAGATATGCAAGGCTAGTGAGATTGAACAGCCAGTAAGGTATTGTGGAGTCGAAACCGTTGTTGGAGAGGTCAAGGACCAAAAGGGATGTAAGATTAACAAGTGGAAGAGAGATAGGAAGGTTGGATAGCTGACACTGGGGCAAATGCAACTCCACAAGAGAAGGAAACATATTCATAGTTGAAAGCCAAGAAGATGCAACCTTGCTAAGGTCTACACTTGCCAAATTAAGGTACTTCAAGGACTTAAAATTCGACAACCATTGCAAGTTATTCACCTTCAATCCGTCAACAGAAGACTCGAGGTTATCTTCGAGATCAAGATAACGCAAAGTCGAAAGATTTCCGAGATTTGGAGGGATCGTGCCACCGAAGGATGCACTTGAAAGATTGAGATACCTAAGTTTTGTCAGGGACCCGAGGAACTCCGGAATTCGGATTCCTCCAAAATTATTCATGCTGAGGTCCAAGTAGTTCAAATACTTTAAATTGAGTAAAGAAGGATTGATCTCGCCTCCCAATTCGTGAGTTGTTTGATCAATATCGTAGTTGTTTGGAAATGGGTTACGGAGTTTAAGCTTGATGACATGTCCAGTTTGGTTTTTGCAGCTCACTCCTCTCCATTTACAACAATCATCTCCAAACCAAGAAGAGAGTCGGCCTGAAGGATCTGTGAGGCCTTCTTTGAACTTGAGGAGAGCTTTCTTCTCAATCTCCTTGCAACCCACTTGAAGATCATCATTGCAGGAGCCAAGTTTAAAGGTCTCAAAGAACAAAAAACCCGAAAAGAGAACGAAAAGTAGAAGTTGAACAGAGCCACCTTCTGTGTCCATGCCTCGGAGAGTATATGTTTTTTGTTCTCTTAGCCTGGTTAGTAATATTCGTTTATTATGATCTGCCCTATTTATAAGTGGGCATGAGGGCCGCCCACCCAAGATGAACTTGGCCGTGGAATTGATGCTGACGAAGACTACAAGGACATGGTGTGGCGTTCTTGACATGCCTAATTGTGANGTAATGGGAGGTTGGAAATATTGCTGGTGAAATAGACAATTCAAAATTAGCAGTATTTACAGGTCACAATGGTCCTCCCCACCAATCACTCCAACTTGTTGACTACAAGTCAATTGAGCTACACTATTTTATACACTTGCAGCCAAGAGACTTGTATCGATGACACCATTTCTAATTTGTGGCCTTCATTCATTGATGTCGTTTAATTAGCTATGGCCTCGTTCAATCTAGAAATCAACTACTAATTCAATCGTAACAGCTATTAATTAGATGTAAATAATATTAATTAATTTTGTTCTGATTCATGTGTACGATGACAATCAATAAACCAGAAAAATAAAAGAACACAAAAATTTACATGATTTGACAATTTGCCTACATTTACGATTTTAGAGCAACTGTCTTGTTTCGCTCACCTCTTCGACAACTGACCTATTATCATCTTGGACTTGGTGTAACTCTTCATACTCTAAATATGAGTCACCTATCCCAACAGATTTAGATAAAATTGCTTAAAACACATACCAACAGGTTTAGATAAAGTTGCTTCAAATACATATGTGAAAGGAGATTGCTATTTTCTGAGGGGATAAATAAAACCTCATTTACTAATACGGGACGACTTGTTCCAACCTTCTTTTTCAATTAGACTTCGTTTCTTTATTGTGTTTTGGTCAAGACATCTGAGTTTTTTTAATCCTTGGAGACCTATGCATACCTAGTCTGACTTTCGAATGTGAACCCCGCAATTCCAATTGGAAAATTACTCCACCTGGAAATTGATCAACATGGTCCACATAATTTTCAACCATATATATATATATATATATATATATATTTGTAGATCACTATGAATTATCTGTGTATACCAAAATAATTTTATTTTTTATTTTTTTTGGTTGCAAGTGTTCAATTTTGTGTTGAATACTCCCTCGAATTCAATAGTTGGTCACCATGACTTAAGCTAAATTAGAACATCTTCTTACAAAGACAAGGGTGACAAGCCAAATAGTGAACTCTTAAGACTTTTGGAGGGTCTTGATCTCTTTAGTCTGCCACATTTATTAGTGGGGTTGAGGGATATTAATTGGTGAACTTGGTCGCAGAATTGATGCTGACAAAGACTAAAAAGACTGAAGAACGTTGAGTTTCCACCCAGATTGGAGATGAGTGTAGTCTTGTTGAAGCGTCAAAGTGTGAACTTGTGCACTACCACCACTGGTGGAAAGATAGCAACCGAATAAAGATTATTCGAAATATAAAAGATGATATGTGACAACATTATTGGAACCCACATGTGAAAAGGGCGAAAGCCTTCTTTAAGGATAGATGGGAAAAACAAGACAAGGGTAAACTTCAGTTTGGCTAAGGGAAGAACGACCATAAGACCGACAAACAGACAGACATGTGAAAACAAATTAGACTCCCAAAGATTCTTTACTGGTAAGAAGTATACACTAATCTCATATCTCTCGAGTCAATCTACAAAGGATATAAGAAATGACTGAAAAAACAAAATTAAGACAAAACAGTTAATGACCAATTAGCATTTTTAAAACTAAATTAGGCTCAAAAGTATGACTTGGTATGATATGCTTTACAAAACAATTATGCTTATCCAATTCACCTCCAAAAATAAGAATTTTGATACGATAAAAAACCGATTGTGTGGTCCCACAGACTGAAAAGAAACATAAATATTACCATAAAAGTCACATTGTAATTGATTGATATATCATCTTCTTCTCTATGACTTTATACATGCACTCGAATCCGAAAATCTCAGGATTACCAAACCACTAACCACTGATCTCATAAATATTTACTCCAACCCGATGGCTGCTGAGTCGATGGCTGCTGAGTCGAGTGACTCGGGAACTTAAAATCTCACGCATTTGAGGTTTTGGCATTTTACATATACATTTTGCTATAATTTATTGGAGTCAGGTTTGTTTATCACAATAGACAACAAAACTGACGTTCTGTTTCGTTTTGTTTATCACCCCATAACACGGAGAGGACTCATCTTCTTTCTGTCACTAAAGCTACGGTTTGAACGTAGCCTTGGAAGGCAACACTGGGCGGACCTTACTGATTTCTCCTCAGGTTTGAAATTTCCACTAGGAGTTCTTTCACCACTACAAACAGAGTTAGCTCCAGACACGTAAGGTGTCCCACTGGCGGATTTGGGAGGAAGGGCCAGTTTAGTAGTTGTCTTACCTTCCATCTTTCCGTTTGCTTCATTTTCATCTCCTGGAATATCTTGCTCATCAAAATCCCAGTCAGATTGTAGGCTATCTTTAAAGAGTTCAGCTANCTTTTCAATGATGCTAGAGATACATGACATGTATTTGTAACCGTAACAAAATGAACGCAACAAAACAACAACAATTACAAAAATAGAAATCCCAATCCAGGGGGAAAAGGAGAGTAAATCACTATAAAACAAGTGTACCGAATTCATGAAACATACCAACAAACTCAAAATCATACACCCATAAGATTATGCAAGAAACAAAGACAGTTAAAATAAAATTAGCCAATGCAATTGAAACCGCTAAACTCTATCTAATCCATTTGGCATTTAGAACTGGAAATTCAATGGAGTGGAAAATTTTTACTCAATGCAAAGCAAAGAAAATCTGAGAGAGAAAAGAGATTGGACCTTGAAAGCATATCTAGAGAGAGAGGGGCCTGGCAATCATATTACAAACCCAGCTACCGACCGTTTCTACATCTGTCAGTGGCAGGAAGGGATGTATTGTGTGTGGTTACCGCCATTTGCGGAAACCAACCATCATCCATTCATAACATTACACAATATTACAAAAATTAACCATGTGGCTTTTTTTAGTAATTAAAAGCTCCTTTCATTCATTTTATTAAACTCCGTTCATTAGTTACCTGAATGTATAGCAGTTCACCTCTCCCCTGATCTTCATCATATGGCTCGACGTTCAACTCAAACACCCCTGATAAAACTATAAAGAAATCAATATGAAAACATCTTTATGAATCACAGATTGCACTAACTAAACCTCAAAGAGACATAAAAGAGATTTAACAATAAGAATAAAATGTAGGTAGGACAAAGAAACAAGCCTTGTTTCAGAAGTTCCACAGCAGCATTGGTGTTTGGAATTTGGACGATGAGCTGACGAAACAAGAGGTTGGGACAAATAAATTAACGAATATATTCAGTCAGAAATATAAATACATACATATATATGGAGGTCATCAAACTTTTAAAATCAGGAATATCGACTACGTTATGAGTACTCCCCTGAAATAGCCCAATCAGAGGATTGGTTGACGAACCAAAAACATCGAGCTTCCACCCCCACTGTAAAGGCTTAACATGTAATCAAAACCCTAATATTCGAATTAATTATGAATGCCAGAAGAGTAGCACAATCAAGTATACCAGCTACAAGTATCAAAGGTGAAATCAGAGACACCAAGTGCGTGGGGTGGTGGGGTGCGTACGGTTGGAAGTGAGGGCAATTGAGGGCGCAACTTTAGGGGGATAGAGAGGTTGGGTTTGGATTTGATGGGAGAGAAAGTTGTGGCGGTGGTGGTGATGGTTGTGGGGGTGGAGGATGGAGTGGCAGGTGATCAGAGAGACGGAGGATGATGGCGGAGCTCAGAGGAGGGGCAGGACAAGTGT